TCTGTACCACTGTGGCCCAGACAAAACGACTGCCCTGATATCAGGATGGTCTCTATCAGCAGGATTACAGTGTAAAATTCATAATTTTTTGATGTCACTGACTTTGTTTTTATTTAACTCTTTGGCACAACCTTGCCAAAAGGCGGCAGTTAATTTGCTCTCTTTGTCTCTGTGAGCCAAAAGCTTTTCTTCTGTCCAGTTTGGTGTGAAACCTTAAAGAGTTTCAATTGTTTTTAATTGGAAAAAAAATTACATCTTGAAGTAGGATAACAGTGGCTGGTCCATATATAATACATTATATATCATCTCTCCTGTTGTTGTGGTGGCATTCATGTTTCCAGGTAAATATTTGAAAACATTAAAAAATGTTAGAAAAGGTAGGAAACATCTACTAGTGAACAAACCTTCAACAGTTCTCCACCAGGACAAAAGACCTTCTTCATCCTATCATCAAACCAATAAAAAGACATTAGTAGCTCATAGAGAACCAGTCTTACACAGGACCAGATTTTGTTTTTCAAGTACAGTACGTACATCCAGGGGATCCTTGACTGTTTCTTCACCAGGCACTGGTACTTCAGCGAGTTCTAGGGTTCGAACTTCAACCGCTTCCTTTAACAGAAAGATCACACATCTGTGAGTTTTGTGAAGAGCAGTAACTTTTCCCACATTTTATATTTTAGCTACATAATTGTTTTAGGCCCTATTGTTTTTGCAGTTTGTCACTGAGGGAATTTTTCAAAAGTCAAAGTACAGATCATCATTGTTCAGTGTCAAATCATTTTATAGTCCAACTAAAATCAAGTGTAAATACTAAAATGTTTCTCCGGTTCTCCCATTGAATCTAAACACTTTTTCCTCCTTACTTTCAGACAACCAAACCTTCCTTCATCCACCTAAGCTTGTGCCCTCCCCTTTTCCCTCTGATGTAACTTTTAAGTAACTTTACTTTATTACTTCCTTCTTCCTTCTTATCAGTCTTAACAACTATCCCTCTTTTATCGCCTTTGTTTGAAGCTACATTGGATTCTTTCCTTACAGACATGCTGTTGTGCTGTGCACCCCGACCCACGTCACAGCTCCTTTCCTTTCATCATAACCTTCCTGCTACTAACAAACCCATTTTCAACTTTCTCATAACCAACAAACACTCCCTTCCTGCAAATGTTTTTCAGAAGTCAACTGTCTACGTTGGTAGTTAACGTCAGGTGTGTGACATAAATACAAAAGTTATTAGTCACCGCTCAAACTTAGAATACAACTGATCAGGGTGTGGCTGAGACCTGTATAAGATTCCAGAGTAAGGATGTAAAAGTCCATGCAGACAACACACCTTTAGCAGTTAATCACATTAATGAACAAAAGCAGATTGACATGCTCTACAATTCATTCTCCAGACGATTCTAATGGAGGTTAAAGCGAAAGTATCATTGTTACTTTTATTATTGTTATTGTTATTATTATTATTATTATTGCTAACACCTCAGGAGTGGATATAATTTCTATTATTTAGATAATGATTTATATTACTAAAAACTAGCCAGGAAATCAGTTAGCCACGGAAAACGAGTCGGCGCAAAGACTAAAGTTAATGGGGTTAAAAATAACAAAAGCAATACAAAAGCCAAAATTTCCTTCATAAAAAACAGCTAAAGAATAACAAGCTGTTACCATGGGAGGCGGATATCTTACATTAGCTTAGAAATTGATTTTTTTAAATCATTCTGAAGATTAATAGAACACATTTGTAAGAAATAGCGAAAGCTAAAAGTTACACAGCCATTGTTTGTCCATTGTTTGGCAGCTTTAAGAACCAGGGAGCAGTGGATAAGTGAGCACAAAAGAGCTAAAAGGTCAATTTATCTTAAATGTTCAACAGATAAACAAAAATACTTCGGAGTTAGCCTAAAACCAGCTACAGTTAGCCAGGAAATAGCTTATATACTGTATATATGAAGCAGTAAAGCAGAAAGACATATAATAGAAAAGTCTAATCACACATGAAGGAAAGTGAAAGTGAACTCCTTGTCACTGTGACACAGCTCACCACTGCACACCACCAAATGTGACCTCTGTTTTTAACCCATCACCAAAGTGAACAGTGGCAGCTTTAAGAACCAGGGAGCAGTGAGGGGAGACGGAGCCATGACAGAGCACCTCAGTGGGAACTGGGCAGCTGGTGGACTCCAACTTGAAACCATGTCCGCTTCCTTAACCAGTAAGCCACCACTGCCACGTGAAGTATCTAAAACAGCCAACAGCTAATTAGCTAAGAGCCCTGTCATTTTTGCTTGCTAAGTGCATATTTTACGATTGAGGTAGGTCAAGTAGACTGTAATAATCGGGTTTAAATCTACCTCGAGGCAAACAAACAAACGTGACGTTGAACCTCCTTGTCAACAAATTATGCAATTAGATTTCTATTGTGATTGAGATATGATGCGTCTTTGTATTTCACCAACTGAAGCCCTCAAACAATCGAAAAATACCAAGGGCTCATGTAAGACATGCTTAAGACGGGACAGAAGTAATCCAGTCAGTACAATCGTACAGGTGTGCTCTTGATGTTGTTTGAGGACGTACAGTTTCTACTAAATATAAACCCCAAAGATAACAGGCGTTAACAAAGGCTTCTGAGGCACCACCCTTCATAAATACATTCCTTTGTGTGTGTGTGTGTGTGTGTGTGCGTACGTGTTTTAATGAAGCTGCCACGGCTTCTTTGTAGCCTTGTAACCAAATGTCAAAGAGCAAACTGATCTGCGTGTGATAATTAAAAATGTGTCTGTGTGTATTTATAACCTGTGAAGCTTCAGATCAACTTAGCCGTTTTCACAGTGACTGAGTCAGGACCATGGAAATGAGACGGTCAGCCTCATGGCCACCTCACATTACAATTGGCCTTGTTCTGCCATCTAGTCTCCCACATTCTCTTTGTCTTCCACATACAACTAAACACTACTTCCTGCCTCACCTTCTGACCTTCTTCTTACTTCCTAGCCGCAGAAATACTGACCTTACATCACACCCTTCCTTTATTCCTTTATTTTACTTTCTTTCCCACATCTACTCACCTAAGCCTTTACCAACTCATGTACCCATCTATTCAGCCAAACACCCTCCCTTCCTTCCTTCTTCCTCTGCACCCACACAACTGGAAAGCCAGTTATACCATGATTTTCTATCCTTCCTTCTCTGACCTACACATCTTCCTTCTTCCTGATGTGAAGTCTTTGGCATTGTTTGATCCTTTTTTATAATAAACTGTAATACCAACAATTTCCATTTCTCACTCACCTGAGGTAGTGATGATGCTGCAGAGTCCTGCAAAAAAATCATTTAGTGAAAAAAAGAATATATATGAATATATATATATATATATACACACACACACACACACACACAATATATATATACCAAAAATGAGGAGGCCGAAAACCGCAACTGCAAAATAAATTATTATGCCAATTATTAGTACCATTGGATTTTATGGCTGAGTCTGTACTAAACCTCAATTGGATCAAGTACAGTTGGGACGAAGTGCAGAGGATCAGAGTAGATTTCAGTGAAACTTTAGCTGACAGTGACCTTTTCATAGGTTTCACTCCGTGGTCCGTCTCAACCAGTTTGTTTAGAAGACGCTTTAGTGCTGTGATTAAAGGAATAACATCTGCTACAGATACATCAGAGGAGCTGGTCTCTTTAGTTAGCTTCTGAAATGGGGCAAGGAGAGAGAATGTTCTCTATTAAGACCCACTGGTGTGAAGTGACTGTTGCAGGGAGCTCCTGGTCTGAGCTGTATGCAGCCAAGACTTTTGCGCAAAGAGGCATTCCTTCCTCTCATATTCAGTATAGTGATCAGGATGTTTGGATTTCTGATGATAAATTAAACGCGACATGGAGAAATTCTTTGCGGATGCATCCCCTCTTGAAATTTTAGCATTACACGTTTTGCAAATGGCTGTCTGTGGGTCTTTCTCAGATATATTGAAATACGTCACACCGCAACGACATGTTGGCACTATATATATATATATATA